TTCTCAATATGCGTTTTTGCAATTTGCATATATGCAAAAACGCATGAAAACAAGCGGGAGGTGGCCTGTGGCCCCACTGACCTGCTCTAGCAGTTGTCGAAAGAGCTGCTCTCGCTGCTGCTCGCGCTCATCCTCCAGCTCCACTTCGTTCACTTGCTGCTGCAGTTGAGGGTGCTGCTGCGCCTTCTTCGAAAAGCGTGGCGGTAGCGTGGAATCTCTCGGAGCCATCACGACGGAACAAAGCCGGACGCACCAAACCGCACTTTCGCAGCCCACCTATTCGATTGTTACTCCAGCCAATAGCAGCACGGCGGGTGCTGCTGCACTGATGAACTCTGCCCGCAATCGGTCGGAATTGGGCGGGAAACTAATGGCTACGATTGGCCGTCTCTTCGGGAGCAAATCTCCAAACCAAAGGGCGAGGTCAGGAGCATTGTCTGGAGGTGGGATTTATCGAGAAGCCACAGGCTGAGTGGGTCTGAAGTGAGCTGTGGGGAATGGGCCGAGCTAAGAGAAAGTGGACACGATGCGTTTGTTTTGACGAGCTTCGTTCCGGGCATCGATGGCGTAGCTATTTTTTTTTTGTGCGGGATGCTGTGGCTCCGTGGTGCCGTCCTGGTGGGTTCGGGGGTTGTGCCGACGGCTTCTGATGTGTTATTTCGTCGGGGCATATGGACCAGTCCATGGTTTCACGTCCTCGCCACATCGCCACCCTGACTCCTCTGGGTGCGGAAAGGGTGTACTTGCAAGCCTACGGTCTTTCGTCCTCGCCATATCGCCCCCGCCCCCCTTTGATGTACGTTGCGCTGCGCCGGGGTTTCCCGCTCGGCGGCACTGCGCTTCTCGATGGTACCCAGCGTGTCGTTACTTGGCTTACTGGGCCACTGCTAGCCTCGCATCAAAAGTGTGTAGTATTTGATGATTTAGGTGCATGCAACTGGGAACAAGCAGTAATGAGAAGCACGTGGACATGAAGTTTCGTAGCAGGCACTGTAATAAAATCTGATTTATAGTAGTGTAAGAAAAATAACTTACTGAACTTACTTAAGTAACTTACTGAACTTACTGAAGAAAAAAAAAGAAAAAATAGTAGTGAAAAAAAGGAAAAATAAAAAATAAAAATAAGGAAAAAAAAAGCAAAGAAAAATAAGCAAACAACGTTTAAAAAAATACGCAACAAAAGATGAATATTGCAAACAAAAAAGACAGACGAGAGATATGTGGAAGAAATAAATATGAAAAATAATTCAAAAAGGAATTATTCTGAGTTGGATATATATTCCAGTTCAACAGAAAAAAACTAGACTTCGACAGTGCGACGATTTTGGTGTTGCTATAATTTAAGGAAATGAAATTATTGGAGGTTAAGTTGAAGTTGCAAATAAAAAATTACAAACACCACAAGTTCTACATCA